TCAAAAGATGGTCGAACATATGTACATTGTAATATTGCAACAGATGCGTGAAGCCAACTTGGACTCATTGTGAATTATGTTCTAAATGCTGCTTGCCTGATCATAAATGTGACAACAATGATCAAGTAATATATTTATTTTCATAAATGATACTTATTTAATTTTCTTCAATAAGTCAGCTTTTGAAAGCATTTAATTATTTTTGTGACTAATTAATGCCACTTCAATTTAAAAGATAATTATCTTCCATTCTAACATAGTATTGTTCCCTAAAGGAGAAGGTGGCAAAATAAAAACTGCTGTTATTATATTAAAATTGTAATGTATTCAGATCCTTCATATTACAATCTTTACATTTCAGAGCATAAGAACTGAACATAAAAATACAAAGCGAGCAAAGAATGTGACTAGACAAAAGATACCGAACAAGTTTTCAAAAAAGCAAAAATAATTTATGTAATATTCTATTTAAAATACCATAATTAATAAGTTTGGAAACTCAGTCATACAGTATGACTTGTGCAAATTTTTATAAACTATATTAACAATAAATACATAATAAAATTACATAATATACAAATATATCTAATATTCAAGATATTTACTACCATTAAACTCCTAGTCTACTCGTCCTTCATGTCCACCGCATGTACACAACTTTCATTCTGTCCCAAATATTTTCAAAAGAATCATTGCAGGTCTGACATCCAAAATAGCAAATTTGTATTCATCATCAAACAATACCTCCATCATAATAATCTATAATATATCTGACTTCTTTGCCGCATCTATCAATAATCCAGTCATGGCGATCAAAAGGCAATTCATAACCCATCCAGGATCGAATACGAGCTTTGGACTGTAATCAGTGGCTTTTCCACCAAAACTTTTTAATCTGGGACATTCACATTCTTTGAAATGCAGAGCTTCCCATTTTAATACTTCACGCCATGCTTGCTCATTATTAGCATTATGAATTTTAATGATGTCTGACATATCCTTTTGTTTAATATCATCCTTTTCCCACTTCAGCCTTTGCGTAACATTGCATTCCAAAACATTTGTTGGCTGGGTATTCCCAAAAGGCTACGGAACCATCTTCTGTGACTTTAGGAATTGTGCTTACTTGCCTTTCTTTTGGTAGAGGAAATGGTTGTCCTGGTGAAGGTGAAGGTGCTGATTAGCAGGTGGCATCATATTTAGAGGGTTAACATCTGATTGTCCTTGTTGCACAGGACAGCCTGACATTAAAGTTTTCTGATGCATGGGGCATTCGGGTGGAGGGACTCCTTGTAAACTTTGATGATGATTGTGTATTGCTTTTGCATTTTCGTCGGGTTTTAATATCTGTGTAGCAGCGTACTCGGCTGCAGAAACCGTATTACCCATCTGTAAAATAAAAGCAGTAGCTTAAGTTAGGAACTACAACATCTATCAATCCTGAAAGATAAGAGTCTGAGGATATACTTATAGTACCTTTAGTAAAATTGCAGGCGCTTTTACATAAATCTGTCTGGATACTTATTTATTTACCTACAATAAATTAGTATTAATATAATGACAAATATCGACAATGTTTGCCCTAGCAAAGGGTTATGTGAGCTCCATAGAGAAGTCGAAATCGCATGGCATGAGATAGTAATGCACTTGCATAACGCCTGAAAAAACTTACGTGAAATTTGTATAGAGGGCTATGCTGTTATTAGTAAAATAACAACAGGAAACACAAACTCGTTTTTGAAATGACTTATTTATTGCATTTCTCAAATTATTGCGTTTAGAGGAAATAATAAGTTGTAAATATCAAAATCATGTATAGTAATAGTAGTTGCAAGTTAAAGTTGTACTAAAAAGTAAATATATTTTATCTAAATGTGGAAAATGTTTTCTTTGAAATCTACTATCATAATTTAAAAAGAAACAATTTGCCATTTTTAAATATATTATTAAAAGTTACGAGTGAAGCTTTTGCATAAAAACTCATTACAGCCAACATACTAAAAACAAATTTGTTTTGGTGCTAATCTTGAACTAAACTTTATATTAAATTAGAAATGTTGTCCTTCAGCCTATATTTCTTATATATTAATTATTTCGTTGAAAATAATTGGAAAATGTATTTTCATATTGAAATCTAAATTGTTAAAGAAAAGTTTTTTTCCGCTTCTGCTACGTATGCGCCAGCGCCACCGTATGGCCGCCGTTATTCACTAAACCGATGTCGGTTGCACTTGATCTTCAGTTTGACTTTTGTCATCGTGCGGGCCGGATTCAGATCATATGAATTTCGTCCAACGTCACGTGTGATTATTTATATACGTTGGGAAATTATTATAAATATTATTAAATAATGGCAAATTTTTTGTATTTAAAATCATTTATGTTAGTGTTAGTGAAGTGCTTAAAAAACGATATGTGAATCCTCATAATCAGTATAAAATATTGTTGTAATATTTACTTTTCGGCCAGAGTTCAAGTTTGTATATTTAAGGTATTTAAATATTTGTTTATATTGCAAAGTATTTTTGGAATGTACAAATTAGTCTGCTAATTATAAACCATAATCTTTGCTATTATAAGAATATTTGGTTTTAAAAATTCATTTAAAGATCTAGAAATAAAATATAATATCAAGCTCTTAATTCGTTTCTGTGCAATACATAACTATGAAATGTCAAAATACCAATCCTAGAA